AATTTTGTAATTGCTGATTTTGGGATTGGCAAGGGTAAATTCCGACTTCCTCTCGTGTGGTAATCTCTGTCATTATTTGCTGCTGAGTTGGATTATTTTTTGTGAATTATGCAAACGGTTTTTAAAAGGAATAAACAAGGTACAGTAAGAATTTTCTGACAAATGAAAAGTGGTTTGCAGTGCCCTACATATGTATCTGACAGCTTTTTTTTTGTATAACGAATACTGAATTTAGTAGTTGCTGACTATAAAAGCCCCAAAAGGCAATTCCATATCTCAAGTGCGACTCTATCAAGAAAAAATACATAGTTCTGGCTGAGGATTGATTGAGTTCAATAATAATAACTCGAACTGCATAGCAGCCAGATGCTATTTTTTTGCATAAATTTGTTATATGCTCATCAAATTTTAATTTATCACCTATCCCTAAAAATTTTGTGAGTTTTGTTAACTATCGTGTGATTTTCTATAAGTAAGTCGTCAAAATTGAGTTTGAAGGAAACTGTGTTTGTTTTATTTGTGTTGAAACATAAGGAGTTTCAATCTCACCACTATTCAACCCTATAGAGTTGATCCGTCTTGTGGTACACCTGATGTATTCTTCTCAATATACGATGTATTTGCCTGGATTTTTACTAACTGCTTCCTGCCTTTTAGATAACTGTAAAGCCAGTTATATGACAATCCTCTAAAGCAGGGCAGTAGCGAAAAGAAATACGAGGGGGGGAAGGGAATCCAAATTTTCCCAACCCCACCAGCAAAATTTCCCAACTTTCGGAAAAATTACAGCCGAGGGGTCAGTTACTATTATAATATATTAATGTTCTTACTTAACTATCTGAAGATTGGCAGAATGCTTATGCCCGTTAGGGTATGCACAAACAAAAATTAATTTTGGTAATTATAAAAATAATAATGGGAATTATTCTACTTTGGACCAAGGTCCTTGTTCTTTCACCATATCCACCATATATAGGAATATTCAATACAAATGAAAGGAAACAACACCTAAATAATATTGTGCTTATTGTTTTCCACTATTATTTTTTCTCTTTTCACGGCCCGAAATTTCCCAACTTTTCCAAGTCGACAAAACAGCGAAAAGTTGGGAATTTTGTAAAATTGTCACTTCAAAATTTGTGTACTCTTTAGGACTGTTCTCTTACTTGGGAGAGACTAAACTATTTTGAAGTTTTCAAACAACTCAGAATTTCAAAGCATGGGATCTCCAAATTGGGAAATCCCAACCTTCTCCCGGTTCTTTCCCTTTTCTTATTACCTCTCCCTTTTATTCTCTCATTTTTATTTATTTTTTTTCATTTCTTTACTATTATTTTTTTCTTTCTTCACGGCCCAAAATTTCCCAACTTTTTCCCAAGTCGAAAAAGCAGGGGGGAGGTTCCCCCCATCCCCCCATGGCGACGGCCCTGCTCTAAAGCCATAGCACTTTTTCAAATACTAGTGTTTCATGGTTCACGCAGTCGAACGCTTTTGAGAAATCACAGAATACTGCCCCAATAGATTTGTTATTATTTAAACCAATATATACAGGGTGTCCCTGTTGAATAAAATAACATTACATTGTGAAGCCATACGAAACGACCCTGGAATGCTATTTCAAGTACAGAGAGGGTGTCTTCGCAGACTAAGAAAATGTGTAGAGAGAGAAGGTGGTCATATCGAGCAGTTTCTGTAGCGGATTTTTCATTTCTGTTTGCTCTTGAGGCTCTTGAGTTTCGTTAGTTAAACGTGTTTGCATTATAAAAATTCGTTATGAACATTTTACCTATCATTTCCATTTTCCTTAAAAACTAATATTTTCGAATAATGGTAGACATCTCAGGATAAATGTTGTTGAATTAACGTTATCATTATTATTTCTGCTTTGATAATTATTCATTTCAAATAATGGTGGACGAGCGGGTTTGATGTCGTCGAGTAGAACTACATTTTTATCAAGACTCGTTGCTCCGATCGACTTTCCACACGAGTACTTTTATTCTTAAAATTGTCCAAGTCACCTTAATTTGTTGAAAAATATTGAAAAATATCTGTCATTTCAAAGTTTTGGGGTGTGGACCATCGGGGGTAGTCCGTTCCTGACTTTGTAGCAAAACAACTGACTCCTGCATGAAAGCTCATCGAAGGAATTCATTTGTTTAATCAATTACCAAAATTTGGATGATTTTGAATATTCACTTGAAAAGTTATCAAAGAAAAACATTTTTCATTTTGTAACTTCGAGGGCCCGTAACTTGGTTACGAAGACTTTTAGGAAAAAAAGTTATATGAAGTACTGGTGATATTTTGACCCCATCTATACATTCCCGAGAGGAAAAGAGGAAGTCCAGGGACACCCTGTACATCCTCCAGAAAAGAGAAGATTGCATCGCCTGTGTTTTAATGGCTTTGGAATCCATATTGAGATTCGCATAGTATGTTATGATTACCTAAGAAGTTGAGCATTCTCTTTTAAACAGTTTTTCAATTATTTTTGATATTGTCAGAAGCAATGATATAGGGCGGAAGTTTGATGGATCATTCATTTCACCACCTTTATGAAGCGGAGTGACTATTGCTAGTTTTAGATATGTAGGAAATCTGCCAGAATGAAATGATTTAGTAATAGCCTTAACAAGAATATTTAAAGCGTGTTTTGAGAGATTTTCTAAAATTTTAACTGATATTTCATCACAACCAAATGATGTTTTGTTCTTTATTTTATTTATAGTTTGCTTCAGTTCCTATGTGTCTGTATCAAATAGGTGAAAGTTATCTGGAATATTTATATTTTTCATAAACTCAGTTGGATGAATTGTCCAGTTATGAATTGTCCGGTATAGTTCAGTTATCTTTTGTTTTATTTTCAGCCATGCATAGTTTGTTTTCAAAATATCGTTGTTTGGCAAGCTTTATTAGTTTTTTATAAATTGTTCTGTTCATATTGAATTCAGTTAAAAGGGGAAGGAGGCCAGGCTTCAACCTGAATAAAATCAAGATGGATTACGTGTTCATATTGAAATACGAAATGAAAATTTCATCAGTTATGAATTTTATTGCCGAATTTTTTATACCTTGGGTTATCCAGGGCTTTTTTTCTTTATTTTTGATTTTGATCGTTTTCATTGAAAAACATTTTTCGACTATATCTCTCAGGTAGTTTTGAAGCATGTTGACTGAATCATCAAAGTTCAAAACGTTTGCCCATGATGTTATATTACATAGGTTTCAGAATGATTCGTAGTTCGCCTTGCTATATATTCGACCGTACCTATATTTACTTCTTTTATTCACTGTTTGGAGTAACATTTTGAAGATAAGAGCTTAATGGTCTGAAAGGCCTACAGGAACAGTCTTACAGCTAATATTCTGAATAAGTTATCGAGTTGCTAGAAAAGATGGTAGCCTGGGGAGTATGGTGGGTGAATTCAATTTTCGGACAGTGATTTGTGAAACATGCAGACGGGCGTTTTCGTGAAGATCTATGCGCAATTGGACTTTGCTGTGAGAGTTTTGATTCGGTTGCAGACAGTTATAGTGAATCATACCAGCCGCTGACCACCATACAGTAACCATGGTCTTGTTTTGGTGGGTTGCCGCCTTTGGGAATTGCATGGGTGGCTCATCGGTGCCCAACTACTGTCCTAAACGTCTCCTGTTGTCGTAGACGATCTACTTTTCATCTCATGTGACCATCCGATCTAGTCTAATCAACAAGTTCAAAAACATGAAAAATAGAGATAAAGGTCCTAAAAATATGAGAGATAGCTCATTCGATTCGGAATCACTTCTAGAAAAATGTTT